ATTCATTGTTATGTTAAATTGTCTGCAAAAGAAGGAACAAGTGATGTATTATTTATAAGGAATATGCATTTAATCAAAAATTCACTGACACTCAAACACACATTCTCAAAATTTCTACAGTTTCCCATGTAAGTAAGAAAGTAAGCTGTTTGAATAATAATGTTTATTGAAAAGTAGGTAGAACATCAAAACAATTGCACGGCTATTGAAAATTGAGGTAGTCGTCCCGTGAGTTCTGAATTAAAAAAAGAAAAAAATCATGTAGTGACTCACATTTATCACGAGAACACGACTGGTTTAATAAAAACAATTATTATTATAACCAACTGTACCAGTGTTTGTTTTAACGTGCTTTTGTTTGACTGTGATAATGACAGCTATTTTGTGCTTCCATTCTTATACTTACACTTCGATTGTAACTTCGCGCGAATTCAATTACCTTCTGTAGCCAAGGTTGTATCCTGGCACGATCTCGGTATCCTCTCGATGCCACGAGATCGCCAGCAAATATGACTCGACTTGGTCCATTTCTTGCCTTCTGGTATTTGGCTTCTCGGGGATTTTATGGGTTTCTTCGGTTACGTTCAACCTACGCCTTCTGATCTACTTGGCACGTGTTTCTTGGTAGTGGTGTTCATAGTTAATCTCAACTCGACGCCACGCTACAGTCACAACCATATCTCAATGACATGCTTTGGTACAGCCAAATACTTGTGTAGATCTACACAAGAGGTAGTAATGCTATCTAAGCTTGGTCTCTGGTAAAATCTCCACATAATTATACCTCTTCCGCATGATTATGATTTATTTCCTGCAATATAATCATCTAGTGGCTAATATATCTAACTGTAGAAAGTGATATTAACATGTTGGTATGTGTTATTATCATCTATAGCATATACATAATATTTACAACACTCGGGACATTTAATGTTTTCACTATCAACCTATTTCTGCCATGAAAGTCGGACAAAACAGTGAAAATCAGCCGAAATTGTGATAAAGACGGGAAAAACGATAAATCTTACCATGGTATCGTTAGTTGTAACGCAGTTTCGGTAGCCTTGACGACAATACAATTTTTATGACGATATATGCCTCAATCATGCAATTTCATATAAAAGATTTGTCTACCATCAATGTATAACTAAGTAGAAATAAGTGCTAGTCTGCGATGCAAACACTAAAAAACTATTATAGCAGCACCTGAATTATGAATTTTCAAGGACTTCACGATACCATGTAACGCATAATGGAAAAACCCCTTTTTACCTAATTATGAAAACGGAAAATAGACTTTCAAATTTATTCGTAATTAATTTCGAATTTTGGTTGTGCACAAAGCAGAAATGAAAAAGTAGCGCAAAGAGTGTCGCGATACCCCTGAAGCGCTGCCGATCAACTCCAGTCCGTTCAATTCATTGTTCGCGCCTTCTCCATTGTTAGGTATTTCTCCGTGTTAAATATTGAATATTTATTTTCTGAGTAGTCTTGTGTTCAGCTTTGAAGATTGTGTGGTTATGGTCCAATGCCACTACAGACTCATCTAGCTGAAGGCGCTCGGTCAGGCATCCGCACCAGATCACGTGTGGTAACGCCGTGCTCAACTACTACTGCAATCGCAAGCCAGATTAGATCAGAGAATTCCGATGTATTGGTCATCGCCAAATATACTCTTCCGATCTCCTCGACTCTGTCTTTTGATTTCTCTTGGTCGGTACAAATTATATCAGAAGGTGTTACTGGTAGAAGCGTTGTCAAACACTGAATACCTGCGTCATCCTCAAGGCAGCTTTTGTCGGTTGAAGTTTCATTAATTATCGATTACTTGCTGCTGTGTTAGTGTATTCCACCAAAGTGAGCAGAACATATGTCCTCTTATCATCTCGAACTACTCTTCGATAGATTGCAGCCTGGATGCAAGGAGCGATGATTTAATGTTGGTATTGTTTTAATCATATTCATATCAGTAAAAAAGTCAAAAGGTCACTGGAAGACGTGAAAAACAGGAGGAAAAAAGCTGATATAGTTTCAGATCACCACCTAGTCCTTGCCAAGGTGAAACTGAAGCTATAAGTGCACCACATTAATAAAAAACAGCATCACAAAAGTTTAGTACAGCTTTCCTCACAGATATTGACAAATTCAACGAATTCAATATAACTCTCAACAATAGATTCTGAGCCTTACAATATCTATTGGAAGAAGAGAAATCTACGATTAGAAACGGATCAAAGAAGCACTCAATTGACGTGTGATAAGTTTCTGAGCCGCAAGAAGCATCATCATAAGGAATGGATCTCTTGGCTGCGGCAGTCTTACAGTTACTCGTAGTTCTAAGGTCACTGATTATTATGACTCCGAGATCTTTGTTGTTCATTACCTCAATTAGCACAACTCCACATATTACGTGATGAAATGGACCGTCTAAATTATTTATTTGAAACACCAAACTCCTGTTAGCATCAACTCCTAATAACCAGTTATACATCCATTTAACCAGTGAATTTGGGTCATCCCGTTTTGATAACATATCTGACATAATATGTATGAGTCTTTTCAATTCTTTATGTCGTTTGCGAAGAGCAGAAAAATGACTTTGCTGTAACTGGCAAGTCTTTGGCATGGAGCAAAACTGAAGAGGACCAAAGACGTTGCCCTCGAAAACTCCACTGTTCACAGATTTTCAAGTTAATAAGGCACCGTTCTCTTGTACTGGTTGTGTTCCCCGGCTAAAAATCACCCCTTTCTATACAGTTCAGAATGGGCAGCGAATAATCTTTTCCAGAATTTCGACAACCACACTCGTTAGATTGATGGATCGATAGTAACTAGCTAAGTGTCTGTTCCACAACATATACACCTGACTGGTAGGTGTGTACTTCCGGTCTTTTGATAGTCTCAATGACACACCCAACCTTGTGGTAGGGGGCTCAGCAATTAAATCCGTTAGAGATTTCACAATACCAGGATGAGCATCATCAGGACCACTGGAATTTAGTGGTTTAGCAAGTTGCAGTAATCGTAGTTGAGTTTCTTTCTCAGTGACCGCGCGATCTATAGACACGCTGCCATGACCAGCAATAACTGTTGGTTGATCCTCGTCGCCACTAGAAAGCACTTTACTAAGGTATACTGTTAGTGCTTCGCCATTTGTGACATCATTACTTGCCGATATCACAGATGCGCAAGCAAAAGAAGTGATGACATTACATTACTTTTCTGAGGTTGCCTATTTTTAATAGAGTGCAAACATTTCTGACCTATTTCCACATTTTCTAACCGGTTTTTTCTTCACACAAGGCCCCGAGCTTAGTGATTACGGCTACGCATGTGTTTGAAGTTTCGCACTGAGTGGTTCTGTACTGTCCAGAGAGTGTATAGTTGAATATGTTAGTGGAACATGCAGATTTACAGTTGTCAGGAGCCTACTACCTAAATATTTCCGATACTAAGGGGTCTATCTCAGTTGGAATAATGTCAGGTGCGATACACTCTCCTTACTACAGGTATCCACAACTTTTACTTCATAGACCAATGAGCTCTAAAATAAATCCACCAACCAGTCAGATTGCGCTACTGTGAACGACATCGAATATAGATGTATGGCATTCAAATTTAAGTTCACAGCTAGTGACTTCGCAAATTCCACTATTATGGGATTTTCAAACAATGAGGCGGATATTTATATTATTACTTGTGTATAAATGGACCTCATCTTCTTCCCTGCATCTGTTCCTATCGATACGTGGACAGTTGATCATCGATAATTCAAGAGTAACATCGAAGTCATAACCTCATCAATTTCTGATTCGTTCACTAATTCTCCTAGTTTATAGACTACAAGCATTTGTACATCAAACTCGTGACGAGGATCTCCAATACATACAGGTCCTGGTAGCATTTACTTCGTAGAATGACTGCTGTTATACTTGTTTTTCTCATCATTTCGTCAACGGGTTCCTAGTTCATCTCATGTCGTCTTTCTTTTGATTACATCTTCTAGATCCATGTCAGTTCTTACTCTTCATTAGTGTAAATATTTTGTTGTCTCTTTGATCCCGGGATTGCCTTAATACTTCTAGGTTTTGCAAACATTTCTTTAGTCGTTTTGCTCTTTCCTGATAATTTCTTGTTCTTAGATGTTATATGTTTACCTGGTAAAATTTTACTAATTGATAGCATGACCTTTTTATACTATGCACACGTCTAATTTTTGCAATTCTTAGTCTTGTGTTTGACTTCCTGTGTACCAACCTTTTCTGCACTGATAGTTTTTTCTACCGGTGCTCCGTCAACAACTTTCTCAAGGATCAACTCCAGAAGGACTGTTGCCTTCTCGATAAATGATGCTATACTCGAACGGCAAAAATTAAAAAATCACTGAGATCTGAGCCTCAAGCATTTTACCACTCAGTGGGTTTTGCAAGAAAAAACGCCTTTTGTAACTGTTTCACACATCACATTACATCCTTTCATTCATATGAACAATTTGGCCCTCCACTATTTTAAGTACAGCCGATCCTGCGAGCAGATTTCAAGGAGAAATATCAGTAGAATGATGAAAGGTAATCCTTGAACAATTGATGATAATTTCCACTATTGATCACATTTTCTACTGTGCACTAGGCGACCACACGAAATGATGCTGTGATTGTTATTTACACTGTTTTAACCTACTATGAAAGGTATGCCTAATTCTTTGTCATTTTCGCTGGCTCATATAAAAGAAATAAAGAGAAATACTGATCCATCATGGTGCGGACCTGTCAGGTGTAGCGCGTTCAGTCACGACGTGAAAGTGATATATTCACTTTGCTCTGCAACGTAAATTATTCGAAAATGTATAATGTTTTGAATTATTTGAATTGTAGCACGAACTATGAGTCCCAGAAATAACGCAATTGAATTAAGAAGTAAGACACAAGTACAAGCGAATGTATTGTATTTGGAATTCGAAATCAAGCATTCAACAAGTACAAAGGTATCATTAGTTCATTCAAACACCACAAAATGTCTACAACCGATACACTAAATGAACCATACATATCCGTAATCACTGACTAGAATTGACAACGCCTGATATCAGTTCAGTGTGCCCAGATTTAGTATTGTTGAGACTTTTCTAATTTTTAAAAGGTTTAGCAACTGCTTAAAGGCTCTAATTATATTTTTGAGGACTGTTTGGCGCAGTTAACTTTCAGTCTATTTTCGTGGGTGGCTATTAAATTTTATGGTTGCTTGTTCGTGATTGAAGGCCGTTCCTCAAGGTTGTACATTTATATGCTGTGGTTATGATGCCCGGTGGCGAATCTGGCGATGATGTATGTGTTGATTATGGGTTCGTCACTTTCTCTAGAAAGACACAAAGCAAAAAGAAGATGTGGAGAAAAGAAATCAGGAGATTCGTGCCAGTATTCTAGCACAAATTCTCGATCAAGATGCAAGAGCACGTTGTAAGTTCAATAAACATGCATTTTCTATTCATAGTGAATACCATTGCGATCACAAAGCCAGAAAAAGCTAAAATGGTTGAAAACATGCTCATCAACATGGCTCAAACTGGACGTCTTGGACCAAAGGTATCAATATATCGTAAAGTATTACTGTGGGTGTATACTGTAGTAGCAAGTGTTGAGATTTGATATTGTGGTTAACTTTACAGACATTCTTTTTTTATTTGAAGTGTTTCAGGTGGGTTTTTTAACGATATTCAGCTAATCGTACATGCAAATACGGTGTTCTGGTTATCAATCGACGTACTCGTTTGAGAACGATCACCTCGGAGAGCGTTGTTTCGTTATAAAACTTTAACGTTATTATCATTAACTGCAAGATTACTACTTTTGTGGTGTTCTCATCCCAGAATCTTAATAAACACAAGCCGTTTATTTCGACGTTATGAACTACTTGTAGCTTTCAATGTTAGTGGCTTAGGCTGCAACACTTTAATCGCAAGACTTTTACCTCGTAATTACTTACGATAGCGGAAGTGTTATTGCAGAACGTGAGTACCACTAAAAACTAACAATCACATGTAGTGTATATTTCATTCATCGAGGCCATTGAAGTCCACAAATGTATGTGTCTGTATTGTTCCTTCTCATATATCGTGTTATTGAGATCTCTTCTATACAGTTGTATAAAGAGGTCCTCGTACTGTGTATCCTAGTAAATCTGACTAGATCAGTACCTTCCACAAGAGTAAAAGCTCCAGACGCACCACTTTGTTCTCAGGCTAAGAATGTAGTTATCTCCCAGTAAATGCGGTTTAAAAACAAAAATAGGTTTAAGTATTATATGCTGACATCCTTGAGCAGCTTGTCAGCCAGTCTGAAAACACTACCTAGTTGTAAAACAATAAACAATGCAAAGTAGTGGAATAACAGCTTGGATCCAAATAATTAACTCACACATGTCAATTTATCCATTGTAGAAGAAAAGGGTCAATTTCACATATATGTTAGGAGTCGGGCTAGTGTTGTGAGTTAGAGTAATCACCTCGTAGGACTTTCGTCACCGACTAGCATCAATTCTAATCCCAAAAGGTTAGGGTCAAATATTTTGTATTAAACTGAAGTTTTGAGCTAGTTTTACAAATTTGGATCAAGGTTTCCAGCACGAACTGATATCAGCTATAATACAACGCTTCACCACCTTTTTGTTGACGAACTTCAGTAATTCAGGATTGACATTCACTGTAAGCATAAAAATGAGAGAACATCATTTAGCTTCACTAAACACTTGATTACGCAATGAACGACATGAAGTAATTAAATACACAGTCTGCATTAGGAGCAGGTATGTTGTGTAATTTATGTCAAGCTCCACTTAAAATTTACTTTTTGATTGCAAAATAGATGTGTTTATTGACTTCAAGCATTTAACGAACCAAATATTGCCAATTTTCATTTAGTGAATAACAACGTACATTATCACAGTACTTTGGATTTCGCGCAATACACAAAAGGCATTATCTGACTTGTGCCTGGTCAACTTAAGGCCTTCGGTTCACGTTTTCATGAAAATTTCTTTCAGCATTTTGAAAAGTATGCTCACCACAATTATTATAGTATATATGATGTAAAAATGTAAACAGTCTGGACCATTATGTCTTGTAGCGTTGACTTTTTTGAGCTATTGCAAGATAGTATTTCTGGGAGCCTTGGTTACATCCATACATCTTTAGTAGACTTAGTTAGTTCTTATCTATCGGCTTCACATTTCCAAAACCCAATAAATAGGTATAACAAAAAAGTTAACGTCTTTGTTATAGATTTTTGAAAGTTGTTGGGTAGAAATGCAACTTCGCAGTCTTCTATGATTAAAGGCATTTTGGTCACTTGGATATTTCCAAATAAAAGTTCCACTCGAGGGAATCAGAGTAGCCATATGACATATTGTTCTAGCGATTATAAATGAATTTCAGACACATACTGGTTTCTCGAGAATTGATTTTTTCACAGCCGTTTGTGTCCACTAACCGTGTTTCTTCAGTATATGAGGTTTAAAGCTCTATTTCGTTGTCTCAACCATAAATTTGAACGGAAGTCCTAATTGTTTTGTTTGGAAAGTATTTCTGTAATAAAGTACTGTTTGTAGAATAGTTTTACCTTCTTATCTGTGTAGTATGATGAAGTTCCTTGCTAGTCATAAACCATACAGTCAAACAAATACGTTGAGTTTCGTCCCGCTTCTCAAGTTTCCGTTGTTCGTGATTGCTAATGTTTTTTAGTATTTTTCTTATATCTAACTCATTTTAGCTGAATGAAGAGCAGTTAAAACAAATTCTCCTGCAGGTTTCTTCGGGTACTCAGAAATCTACCACAGTAAAGGTAGGATATTTAACTCACTAGTTTTACGATTTACGTTCACTTAGTTTGATCGTCGTCGCGCAGCTATCGATTCAGACGAGGATTCACTTTAATGTTTGTTCAACTGAATTTCCGAAGTAAGGCATGTATATGGATGAAGATTTGGATATATATAGATTTTCTAATTTGTAATAGGAAGATTAATGGCGCTGTAAAAATAATTAAAATTTGACTTGATTGAAATCTTTTCTTCTGAATTCTAGTAAATTGTATGCTTGTCACGATGTAGATTTTTGTATACTTGTATTTGCGTATCGTTAGCAATTAGCGCTTCACAGTCAAGATTATTCAATATATCCCCAATGCTCAAAAATGAGTTAAGAAACAAGCTATTAATGTTGAATGCTTTTAACATTCAACATCACGTTAAAGTGGTTAAGTTTTGATTATCCCGTTAGATTATCAGCTCTTTAGTTTGAAACGAATTTTGAAGCTATATAATGCAAATATAACCGCAATTATTAAATTCTCACATTTTCGCCAAATTTTTTTCCTAGATATTCGACTGGACATTTTTCATCTTACTTTTTGAGCATTACTATCCCTGAGAATCCACTAATTGTTTGAGTTATGTTAGGTCAAGACACTAAATAAATGCAGTTTTCTAAGCACATTGAGAGAACATTTTAAAATGTTTTATATCTTTCGAGTTTTTGAGTAGATTGCTACGTCTTTATTTAATGGATAGAGCGATCAACTGCTACTGTCATTTCATATGATTGAACAGTAACATGTCGAAACTCTTTAGACCCAATATCATAGTTTACATATGGCAGAAAACTTATATATCACTTTATCAAAGGAAAACTTGGTTGGGTATTGGACCTTTCGTTTCTTTATCTTCTGACGTGATCATTATTGACAAGGAGTATCAAAATATCTCATTCAATCACAAGTTTCTTCAGAATGTGTCAAAGTGTTGGTCAATGGTATGACCATTCGATTTTCAACTAGTGGGTCACAATTCAGAATCTCGCTTCACATATTTTAGTTTGTATGGTCAGCATTGATAACAATCACATAATTGTTGCTGCAGCATTTCACCATGATATTTGAATCATCTTTCATCTTTGTTAAGACAACCATTTGAGCAACTTGTCTGAAGTAGGATGATATGCGACTGAAGCAAATCAATTATAGGAGTTATGAACTTACAGATTTTCAAGTTCGTACTTGTCATTATGACATTAGTTTCATTTGTTTTACATATACTAATAGTTTTTATGCATATTTTCCTTACTAGATGTGGTTTTTATTTGAGCTGAAAATGTATGGCTAAGGTAACGTTTGGATGTTAGTCCCATGTGAAGTTTTATAACCAGAATAACAACTTTGATTCACACAAACCTAAACAGAAGGACACTTCTATACTTTAGATCTGACAATAATTTATTTCAAACATTATAATTGGTTTGACTTCTTATCGTACCTCTATGTGGCATATTTCTCTAACCAGTAAATGTCATTCCGATCCGATCAAGTGTTCTGTGACTGCGTGCAAGTACATTTCCTTATAATCATCATTATAGACCAATTGTGCTTATTTTCGTAGGGGTATTTATTCAAGTGTGTAATGTGTCTGTTTTCCAGATTGATGTGTGCATGCTAGAATTCAGATGTATGTATACCTTACACACTTATTTAAATATAAAGGCTGAGCCACTCTTAAGTCAGCGACCTTAGCCAGAGACTGGTTTCTACTTTTACGCATTATCACCCCGTTTGTCTGCTCATAGATGAAATGCATATATCTTCAATACATTTCATATTTTGACTTTTCAAATTCATGTTGCCGTGAACAATTGTGAAATCAAACGTCGGATATATATTTTAACTGACATCAAACATGCTTTATAAAAGTAGTGGATTTGAAGTCTATCGCTTACAATATACATATACATATGATAACTGGAGAATTTTGAATACAAATTTTATCATTTACACAGTTTTGTTTACTTATCTCACAATCTGTTTAATAAACTAGTTCGTTCTCTTTCGGTATAATGTAATCATATTTGTGTGTAAGACAAGTAAAATTATACTGCATAAATATGTTTACAGCATCCCTTGAAAACTAGTGGTTAATCTATTATTGGATAAGTGAAATTAGTGTAAATAAAGGACACATAGCTAGAAAACTTTCTTGGGGAAAGTGGTGATCTGAAATTTCGGAAAATTATCTAGTAACATTGTTTATGTTAGCAACGGATTTTCCGGATCTCACCAACCTTCAGTATATCACATCTTAAAGTTAACATTTAATAATTTATCCAATAAACCTTTACACAAATTTAATAAGCTTGAATTATTGATATTATAAGGACTTCGATAAAAGACCTGTGAAACTATGAGCTTATCTTTGATAATAGAGTTGAGACAAAGTAATTCTATTTGGTTGTAGTTTATCATTACAGAAAAGGTATTGAAATAAAGCATTCGCATTAAGTGGTGTAGGATTTCCTCGTATTTTGTTAGATAAGTTCAACAAATGTTTGTTAATCTGTGGAAGAGAATTGGAATTAACATCATTATTTGAATAACATATTACATGGAATTAACTTGGAAATCCTTTCGAACAACTGGTCCCTATGAAGCTGACTAACAGGTCATGGGCTATCAGGATCGACTTCATATAGAAATAAATATACTAAAATATTTACAAATTTTATAAGATCTTCACACAGCGGATTAATAAATCCAGAATTTTAGCTAGATGCTTCTGAAATGCATATTGACGATTGATTTCAGAATTTTTGAGATCCAAACTCAGTTATTTAGTATCCTTGCGCAACTATCTTTCATTTTTATGGTCGATATTTTAGCTTTTAGTACTCTATTTCGTAATATCCTAGATTCAGGGGTGTATCGTGTTTGAATCTTTGCAAAGGGAAATTTAGGATAACCAGCTCAAATATTCTGGAAAAATTGGGTAGGTGCAGACTACTTGCTTATGGTGTACATGATAATCGATATCTGTGTTTGGAGATGTCTAATGACGTGCCTCATAATCGGTCATAGTGGTGTGTTTGCATTCATTTTCCATCTTCACCAACATATTAAGCTCCAGTCTTCTCGTAAATTTTATGTCTTAAATCCATCGCTTTTTGAACTGCGTTTTCCAATAGTTGCTCTTCTTCACTATTACTATTATTTCAGTTCGATTTATATTCTTAATTTTACCTCATCGAGTTGTTATAGTATGGAAATTCGGGCTGTAACATGCATATCCCTTGGTTTATATTGGTTTTGACTAAGTATTTGGCTATATACTAACCAGTTGTACATTTGAAACTAATCTCAGTTGCTATGTGATAGTATTTATACATTGTTAACTAATTAGTAAGATCGACCACATAAGGATTATCAAATAGTGGAAATTTGTAACTTAAGCGGATGATTTAGTGGTGTTATGTTGTATGAGCTAGATAGTGTAATTGCAAATATTTCATTGTTGTAGACAGCGTCATCAAGTCCTGCTGTCAAAAACTACCTAAATCACGCATCGTGGCAAGCGAAAATGATCAGTTAATGTAGATAAGGTTTGTGTTTGATGTCCGTGGGTCGAAGTGAATTAATCCATAGAAATGACCAACAGCTACGCTTATACTGTTTCCAGACTTTATGTACACATGCTTTGTGCTTACGATACATAGATTACTCAATACGGTTTTGATGCAATTAATCCCACCTAACTTTCACAAACTCATCTGAGTTTTTCAGACCATTTATTTACGGACTTCCTTTCTGATCAATATCTTTTAATAATAATGAAAGACGTTATGCACTTGGTTATTCATGTAGACTTATTGGATTGTTCACCATGGTTACATTCTTATCATGGTATATATTATGATTCTGAAAACAATTTAAGTGTACATTTTTAGGTTTCGTTTGTTGTATGGTCCATTACAGTCAAGAAACTATACTACTTATGTTTTGCAAGTAGTCAAAATGTAAAACATGTTTTTCCCATTTATCATTGGGCAGCTCTATTTATAAAACAAGAAACGTATCTTAAAACGTCAAATTTATGGAGATAAAAAACCATGATATGAGCAAAATAATACAAGTACATTTAATATTTCGACATTAGTTATATAAATACACTCGAACACTAGTTTACGGTAATGAAGTCGGTCATGAGTAAAAGTAAGTAGATAGTAAAAATAGGTGAGACTATAATTTATGCACGACCTTTGAGTGACGCCTTAGTGACCTTGAGAATGTCCACCTACTTACTAGGGCCAAGGGAGGGTTATAAAGGAGTTTGAGAAATAAGGATTATGATTTACAGCTGATTGTTCGGGTTGGGAATTAGATATATGTTTTTCATCACGAACTGACATCAGCTAAAACGGCAAAACGCTGTTTAGACAAATGGATGAATGGAATTCGCTCCAAAATCCGAGATATGTTATCCTAAGTCTGATTGTTTTGTCCATAAATTATAGTCTTGCTGTTCGAGGAGTAGCTTTGTATAAATTCCACCATTAAAAATAGTAATATCTCAAAACTACTGAAAAAAAGTGTGATATTCAGTCTGATCACGTTTCCAAGTATTATCTTAATACATACAATGCATCATGTCCAAAAAGTTAAGACAATTCAAAGTTGATGAATAGAATAAAGATTTAACTGATATGGGGTAAAATTAAATCACAAATTTATCAGATGAACGTCTGATTTGTAATTTCAACGATATCAATGGTCATTTCATCATCTCATGTGCTTAATCTACTAACAATTTCTAAAGTGAGCATTTCAGGAAAGTCTGGAATATTCTGGTCACTTTTTTACATTTCATTTACAAATTGAATAGATTAGATAACCTACTGAGAATTAATTAGTTCTCTCTTAATACTAGGGCATTCGTTGAGGTCACTTATTTGTCACATTCGGAAGCATTTATCAGTGTAACTTAGTGGACGACAAAATAAGTGAATTATGTTGTCGATTCTGCGACACGTAGTAGATACGGAAAACTCGTACTTTGATTTTTCCTTTGAAACATTACCAAATCCAGTCGTAAATTACAAGATATACACTCCTTGACTGTTTTATCGTGAGACCGCTGACCAATTTCATGTGACAGATTATTGATCATAATCTTAATCCTAATTTGGTTTATTCCTCGTCTACTATTTGCGTGGCAGCCCAGTGTCTCAGAATTGATCAATTACAAT